ACTCTCTCCAAACGCTCTCACTCTATGTCTCTCTGTCTCTCTCACCACYACTCTGCCTTCAATCTACTCTCTMCAAACGCTCTCACTCTACTTCTCTCTCTCCCTCTCTCTCACCCTCTCTCTCACCACTACTCTGCCTTCAATCCTCCTCTTGATCTCCTACTCTCTCTCTCTCACCACCACTCTATAACCAATTCATACCTAACCCTAACCAGTATTTACAACTAACGATAACCAGGACCTCAGAAATCCAGCTCTTCCTCAGGACCAGGCTTTGGTCCCCATTAGGTTTACTGGTCCTGACAAAGTAAAAGAGCACTCACACACAGGGAGTGACCTCTAGGTGTCAACTGGGAAACAACAGGTTCTTTTTTAAATGAACAGAAATAAGAAATAATGTGCATTTTACAAGGAGATGTAGACAATTTGAAACACGAAACCAATTAATCATAATAATCATATAATGATAAACTTCACTGTGTATTCATTGGAAATGGCTCATCACACATTCATCAGGTGAAAATAAACACAATAAATTAATAAACTATGGATTCAATTGAAAAATCACATATTTTCCTTGTTGTCTATCTTTTGTTTTATTTGTTAACTTGTTTGTTTTGTCTCTTCTGAATTGAAGTGTTTTGACGGAAGTGTACATTGCGTCACTTCCGGAGAGACGTAGTTAGCAGGTATCTGCAGCAGTGATGGCGTCCGCGGGAATGGACGCGACGTAAATACACAACACGCTCGCTTCTGTCGGTGTTTGTTCGTGTTTCATTAGCTGTGCATTGTAGAGGGGGAGCAAACAACTCATGGCGACCGGGAGCGGTGGCAGCGGCGGCGGCTTGGCGTCAAACCATGACGGGCAGGAGGGAGCGTCCAACTCGGCTCATTCTGGTGCCGCTGCGGTGATATCCAACATGCCGGCCTCCGGTCCCGCTCCGTCCGCCTCCCCGCCGGTGCTCGGCCTGCACCGGGAGCCCGTGTACAACTGGCAGGCGACGAAAAGCTCCCTGAAGGAGCGCTTCGCCTTCCTCTTCAACAACGAGCTGCTCAGCGACGTCAGGTTCATCGTGGGGAAGGGCAGACAGGCCCAGAGGATACCGGCCCACAAGTTCGTCCTGGCCGCCGGCAGTGCCGTGTTCGATGCCATGTTCAACGGAGGCATGGCCACCACCTCGGCTGAGATCGAGCTGCCTGATGTGGAGCCGGCAGCTTTCCTCGCACTGCTCAGGTGGGACAGGTGGTCACTGAGGGGAAACTTTCATCTGAAGCTCCAGTCACATTTGAAGGAGGCTGTGATGTAGTTATTGTTCTGAACACTTGGGATAAACAAACTGGAGCACCTTCACTACTTTAACAGTGGGCCACTGTAATATAATAACCATCAGACAACTAAAGACTCAGTTGTATACCAAACCCATCAGTGTAACTTTGGTGCACAATGATTGAGCATGTGTTACAGTGGAATTTGTTCTCTTAATCCCAAGTAGCATACAGATATGGGCCACTTCAGGCAGTGGCTCCGACCAATTGGCACACCCAAGATTTTTCTTCTTTTTTTATCGAGATCCATCAACATCCCCTGAGAAAGTGATGAAAATCACTGAATCTGCACCAAAATTTCAAGCCTCTTCCCCGACCCATACCGCCTCCTTTCACCAAGTTTCTTGGAAATTTGTCCAGCAGTTCTAGTGTAATCTGTCTGACAAATAAACAAACAAACCACTGAAATCTGTTTCATCTGCACAGATTCCTGTATTCTGACGAGGTCCACATCGGTCCAGAGACTGTGATGACAACTCTGTATACGGCCAAGAAGTACGCGGTTCCTGCTCTGGAAGGTCACTGCGTGGAGTTCCTCACCAAGCACCTCAGAGCCGACAATGCGTTCATGCTCCTCACTCAGGTTATTTTCACACCTACTGTATAGCCACTGGGCATGTTGATGACATTTCTAACACACATAAAAAATAAAAAGGAAATACAAATACCTGAGAATGAAAAAGACATGTCAAACATGTAAACGACAACAAGATTTAAGAGATTTTGGCGATAAGGGCCAATAAGGGCCAATAAGTGATTTAGGGAATACAGGAAGATGTCTGGACCCAATTTTTGTTGAAGACAGCTTTCGTGAATGTGGCTTCTTTTGTGTTCTCATTACAGGCAAGGTTATTTGATGAGCCCCAACTTGCCAGCCTCTGCTTGGACACCATAGACAAAAGCACTGCAGATGCAATAAATGCTGAGGGCTTCACAGACATTGACCTCGGTACGTGAGTCTCGACCCCCATAATGTTTCTTTTTCTGCAGCCTGATGTGGATGTTAAATGCTGAATATTCTGTGTGTTTGTGTGTGTAGACACCTTATGTGCAGTGCTAGAAAGAGACACACTCAGCATCAGGGAGAACCGTCTGTTTGGGGCGGTGGTACGCTGGGCAGAGGCAGAGTGTTACAGACAGCAGCTTCCCCCAACCTCGGAGAACAAACAGAAAGTTCTGGGGAAAGCTCTCCCTCTCATCCGCTTTCCACTCATGACTGTTGAGGAGTTTGCTGCAGGTAGGCTAAAAATAAACCAGTGGTCTCAGACTTTTTTCCCACTGTGTGTGATCTAATGCTGCCATGTTGATTTTTAAACACTACACAGCACAATTCAGCCGTTGATCAACATATTCGTCATGTTCCTATTGTGTCCATACAACTCAAACCACAGAAACCAGTTTGATATTCTTTCTTGTGCAACAGGGCCTGCCCAGTCTGGAATATTGTTCGATCGGGAGGTGGTAAATCTGTTTTTACACTTTACAGTAAACCCCAAACCACGGGTCGACTACATTGACAGGCCTCGCTGCTGCCTCAGGGGGGAGGAGTGCAGCATTAATAGATTCCAGCAGGTTGAGAGTCGATGGGGGTACAGTGGTACCAGCGACAGAATCAGGTGATAATACGAACATCCTTGGGCAGTTTTCAATCAGAGAAAATTGATTGTCATTCCTAATTTTCTCTCTCTTTCTTTTTCTCTCTAAAGATTCAACGTGAACAGAAGAATATCCATAGTGGGTTTTGGGTTGTATGGTTCAATACATGGACCCACAGACTATCAGGTCAACATACAGGTGACTTAATTAAAAACGTACATTGCTAATATTATCTGTGTGTTTACAATGAAGATTGAATAAGTCAGTGCTTCCCATTTATTTAGAAGGTATTAAAAGGCTTTCCCATATAGAAGCCTTATAAAACCTGGTTGTAGTGGGTGTTATTTGTTTTGAAAAAAAAATGATATTGAATTCAGTGATATATGAATACAGCCACTAGCTATAGTTACTTGCAGAAACATACACTGTCAAACAGATTAACTCAGAAATGCAAAGTATCCTGCCAGCTGTGTTTTACCAATTTAAGTTTGTTATATGGTAGATTCTTGTTTTTCATCCAGTAAAGACTTAATCTTGTTCTTTAGATCATAGAAAGTGACAAACGCATCACACTGGGCCAGAATGACACAGGCTTTAGCTGTGACGGCACAGCGAGCACATTCAGAGTGATGTTCAAAGAACCGGTGGAAATCCTGCCCAATGTCAGCTACACTGCATGTGCCACCTTAAAGGTCAGTCTGAAGTTGCTGTATTACAAGAATGTCAACAAAAATAAGAGGAATAAACATGACCATAAAAAGTTTTTTATATTCCTCTCCTCAGGGCTCAGACTCACATTACGGCACAAAAGGGTTGAAGAAAGTGACCCAGGAATTAGCAACAGGGACCAAGATGACGTTTTTGTTTTTTAGCTCACCTGGAAATAACAACGGTACGTCAGTGGAGGACGGGCAGATACCAGAGATCATCTACTACACCTAGACTTAACACGGTGTCATGCAGGTACACTGAACTCAGACTGCTGGAAAAACTGGCTTGCTGGATATACAAACGTACGTAGTGCCTCACGATACCTTGGAGTAAAGAATGTGTGTGTTTGAGTGCGTGTTGATGCTGTACGTGTGTATCTGTCTAGAGAATAGACGTGTGCAGACACGATCAGGAATGTGGAGATGGTCACAGTTGTGGTGAAAATCACAGCTCTGGTGTGAAAAAAACACTTGATGACCTGTATCATCATTTTTGTATGATCTAAATACTCTTGTCCTGTGTGAGTGTTACCATCATTCAGCTGACGAGAGAAACTACAAAGACAGCTACCATGTGCTGGTTGATGCCATTTCACTTTATTTTGTCAGTTTTATTCTGATGCATTTATCGAAAGTGTAATATTAGCATTTTTTAATTGTGCACTCTTCATTTATTAAGCTGGTGTCCTCAAGTACTTTGTTTTTGCACTGTGTTCAGGATCCATGTGTGTTGTGTAACTTTGCCAGTGGTACATGCTGTAATTTCTCACTTCATGTTCGCTTAGCACTTAATTAAAATGTAAAAAAATAAAAAGTCAATAAAATGTGGTCAGACCAAAGTAGGATTGTTTAATAAATTCCAGATGAAGTTGGTGTTGGTTAAATTTTTGATGTATATAATACTAGCTCATATTGTTCCTATTTCTGTCACTAGGTGATGCCAGATACTTTCTGTTGCTATACACCAAACTATCAAAGCCAGTGGCTCACAGCATGGAGGTTAAACCTGAGCGATGTCAGATGATCAAAGGATAAGATCAAATAAAAACAATCTCTGCTACACAAACATTTATTTTTCCTCTGTAGGCATCTAATTAAAATCTATTAACAGATAACTGGTCGAAATAGTTTTGGTTCAACTGCTGGAGTTGATAAATGCAGAGTGGTAAAATATCAACAGCAAAAGTATATTACACTGATCTGAAGTATAAAATATCAGAAAAATTTCCTTTCTATAGATAATATCAGTGTAGA